TTCATTCGGTGGCCAAAACCGAATTAGTCAAGTCATAAAACGAATTTTTCTACATTTGAATTTCAAATCTTCTTCCATTAAAATCATTTACATTTAATTTTATTAAGATAAAAACCTTTGATCTTTACATTAAAAAGTGTTACTTCGTTAATAAATTAACGAAGGGAACGTCTGGAAGTCGAGTTTTTTAAAATATTTTTTAAATTTTTGCTACAAAGTTGGGCTAATCTTGTTAAAATTTCCAATTTAGCGCCTTTTTTCTCATAATTTACAGCGTTAAATTCACTTTTTTTTTCTCATTTAAAATAAATTAATTTACGAGGCGCAACGCGTCGCGTCGCGTAACTTGTTTACGTGCATCAGGCGGGCGTAATTTATAACTTCAGTAAATTAACTATTAAAAGAAATAACCAGATAATGCACTATTTTATCCAAAAATATTATAAATCGCTCTTATTTGTTGTTTACTAAAGCGCGAATTTAATTTCTCTTGATAAATAGTGATGTTTACAGATAGAGATAAGCTAGAAATCAATTTAGAAAGTAAATAAAAATATAAATTATTCAAAATATTCAAGTAAAATTCTTAAACTTTTTCAATAATTTAGAAAATGATAAAGTTTAGAAGCTGAAAATCAAACTCTAACAAGGATCAGAGAAGGAGGAAAAGGAGGAGGAGGAGGAGAAGGAGGAAGAGGATGCTCTTGTCGCCTCATCCAGCATCTCACCAACATCTTCAATTATATCTTACATGCAGATTCGGATGATTGTTAAGCAAATTCGATTAATAAAACTCGACAATGTCGATTTATCGATTGAAGAACAAACTTACAAACACGTATAGATAAATTGGAATAAAATCCAATTAAATAAAAATATTTTAATAAAGCAATTTACTGTAGAATTCTGCCTCAGTATACGTCTTATCGTCACTGGTATAATTGTGTAAATACGTGTAGATTGTTAACAGTTATCTGCATCATCTCGTAGATTGTAAGAGAATTAGGTGGAGTGGATTGTTTACTCGAACGGAGCGTAACGTTACATCGATGTTCATTATACAGGTGAAACCATTTGTATACATTAAAGGAATAAAATAGCGTGTTTTTCTACGTAAAAAAGCACTACTAATAACCGTAACAAACGTTGATATTTCAGCAATAATGTCATGTTTAATGGAACATGACACAATGATAATTAATACCACGAGATCATTAGGACTTCGGTCAGATAAACGTAACAGAATTTCCCTTAAAAACTTCATTGATGGTTAATGAAGCGTAACAGAAGAATAAGTTTTAGTAAAATGCGTAAAAATCATTCTAGAAACATAATTAATGGAGTAATTATATTAACAAAAGGAGTTACTCTACCTTCCATTCTACGAGATTCAAGAGTTTGTTGGCATTTATTATATTTGTTTTCATGTTAAAAATTACGTTTAAACAATTAATAAACGGATAGGAATGTGTGTTAAATGGTTTCGTTTAATGTAAAGACTCTTGCCAATTTTACTAAGTAATGTTCGCCCGGATAATAGGAGTTCATTTTAAGTTATGCCATTGAGAATAATTAAGGAATGGGTCTTCCAGGCTAATTCTAATTTAGATTTTTACCATTCAATGAAATTTTTTTAAAAAAAAAAAAGGAGAAAAAATGGTTTTTTCGAGTAAAAAGTGATGAATGCAACTTATGGATTACTTAATGGAACTTAATGACATTTTGTAACATCATTAGACACGGATAAAGCCAAAAGTTTCATTGCGTCATCTGTGTGTCATCCATCTTAACTTTTTATTAATATAGATTTTGCCAGATAAAGATTCTATAAAGGCGTAATTTATGTAATTAGTTCCTTATGCCGTTATCTCTTCACATATATTTCCTTGATTCTCTGCTTCTGTATGATGTTAGAGGCTGAATAAAAAATTTCTATAAATTGATTACGAGAAAATGATGAAAATAATTTAATCTAAATTAAGTTATTTATATATATTATAAAAAATTGAATTTTATGCATTAAAAAAATCGACTTTCTCTTACTAATTCATCGCCATTACTGGCCTAGTTCTCGTGATTTAAACTTGGAAAAAAGTTAATTTTTTTCCAAGTTTAAAAATACTAAATTACTTTTAAAGATAAATTCAAAGAATAATTTTAAAAATTCCGTAATAAAATTATAAATATTTTGTATAATTTTTTATTTTAAATACATTATTTTAATGGTTCATCAAGTTTTATTGGTGGATGCTGAATAAAACCTTATCATTGGAATGTTTAACTATTTTGGAATTCTTTATTCAATTTTTATTATTTAAATAAATCTCTTGTATAATTTCGATATAAAAATACTTCGATTCTTTCCTAGGAAACCATTTTAAAATATTTTCTCCAATATAGAAGCTAGAGATCCGGAATAATTAGTAGTATTTAATGATATCGTTAGAAGAAGAGGAGGAGGAGGAGGAGGAGGA